TTTTCACTGTCAAATAACCCGGGTAAAACAACCCCCAAGTGCTGCCTCAGTGCCTGTCCATACCCCGATCCCATTGGGCTGCTTTAAACACCCCTGCCCTAAAATCCACAAATGCAGTTCCCAGAACCTTCATTTGTGCCATYCAGAGATCCCTGCAGCTCCTGAGGAGCTGAAAGCAGCAGGGCAACTCYTCACCTTCCCAAAAGATTTCTGTGGGGCACAGAGTTGGCTGCTCTAAAGAGTTTTTCTCCATAAAAAGGCTCTGGAATTATTCTCCCATCACACCCCTGGGTTCCACCTGGATCAGAGATCGTGTTCCTGACACCATGAACTCAGCCTGTAACTGGAGCTGCTCTCCCCAGCTCTGGTTTTTCCCTCTCCCTGCTCTCTCCACCCTCTCCCAGCACCATCTCAAGAAGTTGGAAGGGCGACGCCTGGACTTTGACTACAAGAAGAAGCGGCAGGGCAAGATCCCCGATGAGGAGCTGCGGCAGGCCATGGAGAAATTCGAGGAATCCAAGGAAGTGGCAGAAACCTCCATGCACAACCTGCTGGAGACGGATGTGAGTGTGGCAGCGCAGAGCTTGGGGGGGTTTTGTGTCCCTGAGGGTGACATGTCCCCAATTCCACCCCGATTTCCACTCCTGTTCTCCCGGCTGTGCTTCTGTTTTGGGAAATCCCAGATCTGGGTGATTTGTCAGCCTGGGATCAGCACCTGGACACCCCAAACAGGCTCTTTAGGGTGGTGGGGGGGCTGAGTTTGGGTGGTAACCCACCCAGGAAGGATTTGGGAAWGATTTGGGAAGGATTTGGGAAGGATTTCCCAGCTGGCAAACCCAGAGTGGCAGGAAGTGCCCTCTACCCCAGCCGGTTCCTGTGTGAAATCCCAAACCCGTCCTGCCCTCCCCGCTGCTCCCATCCCCCAGCACGGCCCCAAGGGCTCTTTAGGGGTGTTTGGGTGCTGATCCCAACCCGGTGACCCCACAGATCGAGCAGGTGAGCCAGCTGTCTGCCCTGGTGGATGCCCAGCTGGATTACCACCGGCAGGCCGTGCAGATCCTGGACGAGCTCGCCGAGAAACTCAAACGCAGGTGAGTTCTGGGGTGGCACAGGTGAGTCTTGGGGTGGCACAGGTGAGTCTTGGGGTGGCACAGGTGAGTCCTGGGGTGGCACAGGTGAGTCCACAGTGGCACCAGTGAGTCCTGAGGTGCCACCAATGAGCCTTGGGGTGCCACCAATGAGTCCCAGGGTGGCACAGGTGAGCCTTGGGGTGGCACAGGTGAGTCCCGGGGTGCCACCAATGAGCCTTGGGGTGCCACAGGTGAGTCCTGGGGTGGCACAGGTGATCCTTGGGGTGCCACAGGTAAATCCCAGGGGGCCACCAGTGAGTCCCAGGGGTGCCACCTGTCTGGAAACACCAAAGTGCCCCTTGGAATCACAGAGCTGCAGAATGGGTGGGGTTGGGAGGGACCTTGAAGCTCGTGGAGCAGGGACACCTTCCCCTGTCCCAGGCTGCTCCAAACCCTGTCCATCCTGGCCTTGGAAAAGCCAATTCCTTGGGCTGTTCCAGGTGGGGTTTGAATTTWTCAGGGTGTCTGATCCAGCCCAAATCCTGGCTCAGGAAGGCTCATCCCACCTCTTATTCCTCCTTCCACTATGAGGAGGATCTGGCAGCGTTTCTGTGCTGCTCTTCCCTCCTTCCCTGCCTACTTGGAATTGGGAGGAGCTGGGAGGATCCTGCCGAGTCTGAGCTTTCAAACCACAGCACGAGTGTCCTCTGCTGGCCTGAATTCCTGAGCGTTCCACAGCAAAAGGGATGTGTGGCCCTCTCAAAGGGCAAACCCCAAACCCCCACAGGCTCCAGCACTGGGAATTGTGTGGCCCTCTCAAAGGGCAAACCCCAAACCCCCACAGGCTCCAGCACTGGGAATTATACAAATCCTTGCCCACAAACCCTTCAGGAGGATAAAAACCGTGCTGATTTCTGCTGTTCCATTCCTCATGAAGCTGATYCWTKKTTKTTTTTTCCCCTCTCCCAGGATGAGGGAGGCGTCCTCACGTCCCAAGCGGGAATACAAACCCAAACCCCGGGAGACGTACGACTTCGGGGACACGGACCAGTCCAACGGGGGCTTCTCCTGCAACCCCACCCCCAAAGTCTCAGGTAACGCTGTCCCAGGTGGGGATGGAGCTTGGACAGGACATTCCTGGCTCTGGAGAACACCAGGAATGCTTTTCAACGGGGATTTCTCCTGGGAGCCCAGTTGGCTCTGGGGATGTTCCACAGGAGTTCTCCRCTGCCACTGCCAGCAAAAATTAAAACTGAAGCTTCTCTCCCTCCCTCCTTTCTTCCACCCCTCTGCATCCCAGGTTCCTAACAGCATGTGTTTGCTCCTGCCCTCCCGTTCCCCATGGTTTAAGCATGTTTCTCTTTTGTTTGGAAGCAGCTTCCGCCTCTTTCCGGTCGGACAAGCCGTCCCGRTCCTCCGTCAGGAGCATCCGTGAGTTTCCTCCCTGTGCACTGCTCCGTGTGTCACCTCCTCCTCYTCCTGTCCCTGTCCCTCCTGGCTGCTCCTCCTGATGCCTTATCAATCAGGCTGATCTGAAACAGAGCCCARACAAACTTKAGAGAATCAGAATKGATAACTTTAAACCAGGYTTAACAGGYCTGCTGGCACATTCGGGYAGAAAAAAACAAAAATAGACCCCGAAATCTTCACCTTTTATAAGTTCTGCCTTATTAACATATTGGGTGTTAATTCTCCAATGAATTTTTCAGGTGATGATGTCACCCACCCCAAACTCGCTGCTGTTTCCATATTTTGAGGCAGCGAGGTGTCCTTGGATTCAGCTCAGAGAGTTTTGTTTTGTCTAAAGATGGGAGAACCATGGTTTTAGTGTTTTATTAGATAAATACAAGAATACAGATGCATGAAAATACAAAAACTAAAAATCCTAAGGCATCACTCCCTGCTGCTGCTCATCCCTCTGCATTGAGCTGAGCCCTGAATTAACCCAACTGCTCTCCAGTGGGGTTTTTCCACCCCAAAACCTGATCTGCAGGGATCAGGTGCTTTCCCAGTCCCATCGAGGATTTCCCTGATTTTACAATCACCCAGCCTGGATTTGTGCCATTCCTGCCCCCGTGTCCCTGTGCAAGGCTGGAGGGAGGAGGCAGAGCTTCAGCTCGTGGAGTTTGTGGGGTGTGGGCACGAGGAGGGGTTTTGGGGGCACTTTGGGGTCTTGGAGCTGGTGCTTGGAGCAGCCTGGTGGTTTTGGGGGATTTCTCTCAAATTTTGGCTGCTGCTGGTGGTGATTCCTGAGTGCTTTTCTCGTACTGGGCCTTTTCTCTCTGTGGAATTATGGAATGATTTGGGTTSAAAGGGACTTTCAAGATTTTCTTCTCCCACTCCCTGCCCTGTGCAGGACACTTTTTCCTGACCCCAGGATTCTCCAAACCCGCTCCAGCCCGGCCTTGGGGTTTTCAGCAGCTCCTGGAGCTGAGCTGGGGGAACAAGACTTTGGGTTTCTCCCCGGATTTGGGGGGCTGCTCACAGGTTTGAAGGGAGGCAGGTGCTGTCCAACCCCACCACTGAGCTCCAGATCGGTTTTCCCATCTCCAGAGGGATAAATCTGGAAATTTCCTTGGAAATTTAGGAAATCCCATCAGGAACAGCATGAGTGTGTTCCAGTTGGGGTTTTCAGGTTGGAAATTTAGGAAATCCCATCAGGAACAGCACGGGGGTGTTGAAGTTGGGTTCTGTGCCAGGACTGGGGTAAGGAGGAACTGCAGGAACGATTAAAGGGAAACATCCCTGCCATTCCAGGCAAGATCCCGAGCTTGTGGCAGCAATCCCCGGTGCCCGGAGTCCCCGGTGCCAGGAATGCCCAGTGCCCGGAGTGCCCAGTGCCCGGTGCCAGCAGTGCCTGGTGCCAGCAGTGCCCAGTGCCAGCAGTGCCCAGTGCCAGCAGTGCCCGGTGCCAGCAGTGCCCGGTGCCAGGAGTGCCCGGTGCCAGGAGTGCCCAGTGCCTGCAGTGCCCAGTGCCAGCAGTGCCCAGTGCCAGCAGTGCCCGGTGCC